TAGTGAAAGTTAGGGTTATCTAGTTTATATATGTGTATGCATAAATACATATAAAGCTGCCGCAAGGGTTGTCCACCAATTTTCATTTAGCACGTCCCAGGGCACTGCAGAGTGGGGGATATCTCCCTATGCAAAATCTCCGTAGTCAAAGTTTCATTATTCCCTTTAAAATCATCTACTGGGCATCCCTTCTCAGTGCCTGTGCTCTTCTGGTCTCTGGAGTAGGAAAGAGGATTCTGGAACTCACTGGTCTGAGACAGTTTCAGTACACCATGGATATGATTTACAGAGGTGAGGCATCACAGAGAAAGCAGTAATCCTCAATGGAGGAGCTCTCCAGAGCCGAGGTTGAGTGAAACAGTGCAGAAGGCGCCAGTGAGGAAAGGATTTTAGAAAGGTAGACTAGGTCATTCTGTGACATCATGAGCAGTTCAGTGACACCTCAGATCCTACTTCTGATGTCTGGAATTGTGATTTTCCCTAAACAGGGTCTTCTGGGGCTTTGTGAATGAACTGCAGCCAGGAACAGTGTGGGGAGCGGGGAAGCACCAGCATCCTTCTCGGAGGCCCCTTCTTTCTTAGAGACCCTCTTTCTCTCTGGATTCTGGCCTTTACTCCTTCTCAGAGTCCTCAGAATTAAGCTATCTGCAGATGGCAAAGAGCCCCTCTCAGAGCCCGCATGAGACAAATAGTTTGCTGCTGTGGACAGTCTGGAGCAGCCTCATATCCCACACCTGGGATTAAAACAAAAACATGTTTACATAAAGACACCAAAACTTTCCACTGCAAGTGTGGAAAGAGTCACAACTCTGTTCCAGTGTCACCCTTTGTCTGTCTTTGAAGGCACAGAGAATTTCCATATGTATAAAGCAAAGCAAGGGGACAGGTATACTAAGGGCTACTTTATATGCTTATGTCTTACACTTGCCTCTACAGGACCCAGCCTAGATGCCCACTTGAAAGGCCGGAAGCACCGGGATCTGGTACAACTACGAGCTACCAGAAAGGCCCAGGGACTTCGAAGTGTGTTTGTCAGTGGCTTTCCCAGGGATGTGGGTTCTGCTCAGCTTTCTGAGTATTTCCAGGCATTTGGCCCCGTGGCCAATATTGTCATGGACAAGGACAAGGTAGAGTTGAATGGCTCTGGGGTTAATGGGTCAGACGGGTTAGCTTATATGGAGAGAAACCAGTAGCCTGTTTTGGCAGCTTCCTAATGTGGGCTAGTAGAACTTGTTCTTGGAAACAATTCACAAAAGTTCAGTTTTGTGAGCTTCTGACACCTCCACTCCTTTGATATCCATTTACCAGAGTTAATTATGGGGGATTTGTTTATCAAACATTATTATCATTGAGTCAGGTTGCTCATTATGTAACTTTGGCTTGCTATGTAGACCAGGCTGGCCTTGAACTCAAGAGATCCACCTGCCTCTGCCTCCATAGTGCTGGAATCAAAGAAATGATCAAACCTCTTGCTCTGTTCTCTCTTACCCCTACCACCTCCCTTTTCTTTCAGTTCTAGGAATTGAGCCTGGCAACTTTTGAATGCTAGGGAAGTGGTCTCTAGCTCCAAACCATCCCCTTATCCTTTATCAGTCATTTCCTATGACTTATGCCTGTGGACTGTGAAGACATCATGTAATTTTTTTGTGTATGATATGAAGGGTCCAACATTCTTTTGTTCATGACTGTTCATTTGTCCCAGCATCATTTGTCTATAAGCTCATTCTTTTCTCATTGGTCTTATTATCTTGTTGAAAACTAGGTGACAGGATGTAGGGGTTTATTTGTTGGTATCAGTTTTTTTCTCTATGTTTGAATATGTCTTTATGTTGACATTACAGTCTTTATATCAGGTGCCTGTCTACAGGAACAAATGACATAAAAGAATTGCTCTTTGATCCTCAGCAGTCATGTTTGCCTTGATCCTAATGTTTTACCTTTAAAAAAGGTATATATGTGCGTATGTGGATATACACAAATATTTATATTCTTATTCAGCTCTGTTCAGCTCACCGATATCACAGCAGTCTAGTTATCATATTGTAGGTAATCCTATATTGTTGGTAAGTTCCTTGAAAACAGGGTTTATGATAGAGTTTATGTGTTTATATCAGCAGTAGCAGGGTTTTTAAAAATCTTGTTATATTCCGGTGCTAAGGCTTGAATCCAAGACTTTATGCACACTAGACAACTTCTCTACCAATGAACTGCATTCTGAGCCCAATGTGGATTCTTTTCAAAAAATTTTATTCTTTCAAAAATATTTAAAAATTTGCACATGTATGGTCAGTGGTGCAAATGTGGGTGTCAGAGGACATTTGGGAGTCTGTTCTGTCCTACAGTGCGTTCAGGGGACTGAAATCAGGTGGCAAGAATTTTACCCCAACATGAACTTTTTTTAAAAGGTTTTTCTGTGGGTGTTTGTATGTGGTCATGTGTATATGAGTACACCTTTGCTAAGGCCAAAAGAGGGCACTGGATTATTTGGAGCTGGAGTTGTAGGTGTTTACAAGCTGTCTGATATGGTAGGAACAAAATTCCAGTCTTTTTTAAGAGCAACAAGTGTTCTTAATCACTGAACTATTTTTCCAGAATTACACATATGGAATCCCTTGCATATATATTTGCATGTAAAAGAATATATATTCATATATACATATATGCATGTTTACTGGAAGTGGCTCTCTGCCCCATGCAGGGGGAGGGAGAGAGAGAGGGGAAAAGAGGCGGACAGATACAGAAAGGGAGATCAGAGAGAAGCCCCTTCCATGGATTTTTATTGTTAAAAGAGTCAGAAAAAAGTTATGCTTTGTTTTTTTGAGACTAAACTGTACATCTTGCAGGCAGGCCTCAAACCTGCTGTGTAGCTGAGGCTGGCCTTGAACTCCTGGTCTTCCTTCCCAATCTTCCCCTTTTAAAAAAGATTTTATTGTTGGTTTTTTTGAGACAGGGTCTCTCTCTGTAGCCCTGTCTGTCTTGGAACTTGATAGGTAGACCAGGCTGGCCTCAAACTCACAGAGATTAGCCTATTGTAGCCTCTTAAGTGCTGGAATTAAAGGTGTGTGCCGCTGTGTGTGGCTAAGGTTTTTTTTGTTTTAAATTATGTTTACATCTGCTTGTCTCTGTGTGGATTTGTATACAAGTGCCGTTGACTCTAGAAGAGGGCATCAGATCCCCTAGAACTGGAGTCATAAGTGTTTGTGAGCTAGCTGGCATGGGTATTGGGAACCAAACTCTTAACTGCCATCTTTCTAAACTCTTTAAAAAAATTTTTTTAAAGATTTTTTTTCTTTTATGTATGAGTGCTTTATCTACATGTATGCCTGCATGTATGCCTGCATGCATGCCAGAAGAGGGCTCAGATTTCAGTAGAGGTGGTTATGAGCCACCATGTGGTTGCTGGGAATTGAACTCAGGACCTCTGGAAGAACAGGCTGAGACATCTTTCCAGCCTCCTTTAAAATTTTTTAAATTATATTTTAATTTGTCCCCCATCCCCACCCTGGGGGTTTGTCTGTGTGGCCTTGACTGTCCTGAACTTACCTTGTGGACCAGGCTAGCCTCGAACTCACAGAGATCCACCTGCTTCTGTCTCCCATTGCATGGGATTATAGGCGAGTGCCACTGCGCCTCATACATTTTAATTTTTTAAAAAGCCTTATGTGTATGGCTTTTTTGCCTGCATGTTTGTGGGTGGTTGGTGCCCTTGGTGGTCAGAAGAGGGCATTGTATCCCCTAGAGCTGGAATAACTGATGCTTGTGACTTGCCATGGAGGTGCTGGGACCAAACCAGGTCATTTGAAAGAGCAATAAGTGCTCTTAACCTCTGAGGCATCATCACTCCAGCCCCTTAATTACATTTTATTTGTTTAGTGTGTCTGTGGTAGGAGAGCAGGGGACATGCATGGCACAGATATGGAAGTCAGATAGCAATCTTCAGTAGTTAGTGGTCTGCTTCCACCATGTTGGACTCAGGGGCCTCAAGTTTAAGATTAGGCTAGGTGGCATGTGCCTTTAACTGCCTGAGCATTCTTACTAGGCCCTGTCTCTATCTCCTGAGTCTAGGATTACTGGCATATACCACCATCCATGGCTTGGTGAGTCTTATTTTAACCTGTGAAATCAAGTCATCATGAAGCATAAAAGATAATAGATGACATTTTAATTGGCAGCCTAGAATAAAAATGTATGGGATAATGGTGAAGATTACTCATCTAACTAAGTATGTTTCCTCTTCCAAAAACAAGTAAATATTCCCAGTATATGAGCTGGTTCCCATTTCAAAGATTCTTATCTACTGTTAAAACATAGGCTTGGAACCCGGGCATGGTGAAGCATGTGCGTTTAATCCCAGCACTTGGGAGGCAGAGGCAGGTGGATCTCTATGAGTTCAAGGCCAGCCTGGTCTACTGAGTAAGTCCAGGACAGCCAAGGCTACACAGAGAAACCCTATGTTGAAAAACAAAACAAAAACATATGCTTGGATTCTTGATTGTCAAAACATCATCCTTGCTCCTGTGTGGTTTTCCAGGGGGTGTTTGCCATCGTGGAGATGGGAGACATAAGTGCAAAGGAGGCTGTCTTATCACAGCCCAAGCACAGGCTGGGGGCACATGGACTACGTGTCCGGCCAAGAGAACAGAAGGAGTTCCAGAGCCCAGCCTCCAAGTCTCTCAAAGGAGCGGACTCAAATAGTCACCAGCTGGCCCGAGTACTGGCAGAGGTCCCAGATGTGGAGGCACAGATGGTAAAGCTTGTGGAACTGAGGGAGTTGTCTGAGGCTGAGCGGCAGCTTCGAAACCTTGTTGTGGCTCTGATGCAGGAGGTCTTCACAGAGTTCTTCCCTGGTGAGTGCCCTGCTGTAAGTCAGCTCTCTCTCATACCTCTACAGCTCTCCCTGCCCCCATGTTTGAACTCTCAGTCTTCCCTCAGCTATAGGTGTTTCATTTGCTTGCTCTTCCATCTCTGTACCCCAGTATGTTCTTGAATGGAGACCTCCCTGTCTTTTTACCCCTCTTTATTATATGTGCACATAAGTAACACACATGCTTATGGAGGTCAGAGAGTAACTTTCAGGAGTTGGCTCTTTTCCTCCACCATATGGGTTCTGGGGATTGAACTCCGGTTATCAGACTTGGTGGCAAGTACCTGAGCCATCTTGCCAGTTCCCTAATATCTTTTGACCTTTGTTCTTTGGTACCTAGGTTGTGTGGTCCATCCTTTTGGCTCTTCTATAAACAGCTTTGATGTTCATGGCTGTGATCTTGACCTCTTCTTGGACCTGGGTGATACAGAAGAGACCCAAGTGAGTGACCAGGGGAGCGTGCACTCGTATGACTTTAGGCAAATGCTTTACCCAAACTCTCATGTTTTAGTGTGACATTTATAAAATGGACATAATAATACTTATGCAGAGCCCTAACTGTATTTGTGGAAATGTGAATATGGATGTGCATTAGATACAATGAGTTGGCATGGGGTAGATAACAGTTGTGACAAGAAGAAAAAAAAATTTTAAAAATTCTCTGTGATTGGGTTTTTATTCTTTTAGTTTCTTTGTTTTGATTGTTTTTTTGAGACAGTTTCTATGTAGGCCTGGCTGTTCTGGAATTTACTCAGTACACCAGGCTGGCCTCGAACTCAGAGATCTGCCTGAGTGCTGAGATTAAAGGCACGTATCACCATGTTCTTCCTTGTATGTAATCTTATTTGGAGCAAATATATAAACAGATATACAGTAAGGTAATTTGAGGATTATCTTTTTACTTATTTGCATAGAGGGGTGGTTGAGACTGTGCAACCCACACTGGCCTTTTTGCCTCTGCAGACATGCTAGGGTTGCAGGCGTCAGCTGCTATGTCAGGTCTTTACTTGTGCTTTGTAATATGTAACTTACAGATTGTTTCCATAGTGGGAAAGTTTTTTTTGTTGTTGTTTTTTTCTTATGCACAGTTCTTCAGAGCTGTTCTAAGTTCTCAGGAAAGTTGAGCAGAAATAGAATTTCCTGTAGACCTCCTTCCTCCAGAGAGGAAGGACGTTTTCTTTGTTGTTGTTTTGTTGTGCTGGGGTTGAACTCTGGGCCTTTGTACATGCATATTTTTTTCTCTACATTTATTTTGTCTTGTGTACACAGTCATATGTGCACCACATGTATGCTTGATGCTTCTGGAGGTCCCAAGAGGGTGTCAGATCCCTTGAGTTATAGGTGGTGTTAGTCACCATCTGGGTGCTAGGAACTGAAGCTGGTTCCTCTGCAAGAACAGCAGTGTAGCCACTAAGCTGTCTTGTTTCTGAGACAAGTTTTAACTATGTAGTCCTGACTGTCCTGGTGCTTACTATGTAGCTTAAGCTGGCTACAAACCAATGATCTTCCTGCCTTACCTTATCAAGTGCTGGGATTATAGACATATACCACCATTTCCAGCTAGGATTAGTGGTTAGAAATATGGACCACAGCCCCATACTTTTTTTCTGAAATTATTTTTTAAAAATTTCATGTATGTGTACTATATTTACATTTCTTCTCCCTCCCAGAAAACGGTTTCTGGGCACCGTTTCTGAAATGCATGGTGCCTTCTGCAGTAGGCACTTAACTTCTACCTCAGGGAGCTGGGGAAGGGGGCTGCAACCAAGGCAACAGCAACAGGCTGTATGTTTTGGTAGTCTTCTGGACAGCCCTGGTTATCAGGCTAATTTAAAGCATGACTCTAAATTCTAATACTTGGGAGGCTGAGACAGGAGAACTGTGAAAAGTTCTGTCCCCATCTTCCCCCTCAAATTAATAGACTTTTTCTTTAAAGGTTACATATGTATAAATGTATAATTATAAATACAACCTGCTGAGTTCATTTGGGCAGTGATATTGTTGACATTTCATAGGTGTGGGCTTTTACCTTTCCACTTTTTTATGTCCACTGGTGTTGTGTCCTTGTTGAGCTCACATTTGGGCAGTCATGTTGGTGAGACTTATGTAGTTTTTGGCATTATACTAGGAGAAACAATCTCACAGCAGCCTCCCTGATCCTTTGGCTCTTATCATCTTTCTGTTCCTTTCACAATGTCCCTTGAGCCTTAGGTGCAGGAGAGTTTTGGAGATGTACTCTATTGGGACTGGGTTCCATAACTCTGCATTTTAATTGGCTGTGTGTTTTTTTTTTTTTTTTTTTTTTGTAGTAATCTCTTGCAAAGAGAATTACATTGATGTAGGGTGTAGACTACACTTATCTGTGGGTATAAGGACAAATGTGTGGATTTTTGTTAGGGATTATACTGGTTTAATAAAGTAGTGGTTGTAGGTTCTCCTCTAAGATGACTTCACCAGCACCAAGTAGTTGATAGGTTTCCATTCCCAGGCATGATTAATCTCTGGTTGAAGAGGTTTTTAAGTCCAATTAGAAAGCTACTACTACTTGGTGGTGGTGGTACACACCTTTAATCCCAGAATTTGGGAGGCAGAGGCAGGCGCATCTCTTGAGGTTGGCCTGGTCTACATAGTGAGTTCCAGAACAGCCAAGGCTACTCAGAGAAACCCTGTCTCAAAAAACCAAACTATCCAACCAACCAACCAACCAACCAAGCTGCTAGTTACTGTCAAGTATGTGAGCCACTACTGCACCCTTTGGGTTATCCTGCTGTGCTAGTTGTTGATGTGGTTCATAGATGTCATAGCTGGGTAGGAGGTGTTTGCTCCTTTCCTCTTTTGGAAGCTTGAATGGTGCCTTCTGGTACCACGACAGCTAGTCTTCAGGGAGGAGGCATTCAGGTCAGTTCCAGCTCAGGGGTTTCTGGGCACCGTTTCTGAAATGCATGGTGTCTTCTGCAGTAGGCACTTAACTTCTACCTCAGGGAGCTGGGGAAGGGGGCTGCAACCAAGGCAACAGCAACAGGCTGTATGTTTTGGTAGTCTTCTGGACAGCCCTGGTTATCAGGCTAATTTAAAGCATGACTCTAAATTCCAATACTTGGGAGGCTGAGACAGGAGAACTGTGAAAAGTTAGAAGCTGTGGGGTTGGAAAGAAGCCTCAATGATTAAGAGCACCGGCTGCTCTTCAAGAGGACAAGGATTGGAGTCCCAGCACAAACATGGCAGCTCAAAACTGTCTATAATTCCAGTTGCAGATCCTTGTTTGGCCTTTACAGGCATTGCTTGCATGTGGTACAGACATATATGCAGGTGAAAAATCCAACACATAAAATAATAAGTTTAAGGTCAGCCTGAGCTGCATAGAAAGGCCTTGTCTTTTTTGTTTGTTTGAGACAGGGTTTCTGTACATAGCCCTGGCAGCCATGGAACGTACTGTGTAGACCAGGCTGGTCTCCTAACTCAGAGATATGCCTCCTGAGTGCTGGGCTCAAAGGCGTGTACCATCACAGCCTGGCTTCAGTCTGTTGAGAATGAGTATGTAAAGCTGCAGAGTAAAGCCTGTACTTAGAAGGTGGAGGAGGAGGGGCATTCATTCTTTTTTCTCCATCTACAGCCAGCTCCACAGGCTCCAGAGGCGCCATCCTTGGACTCAGCCCTTGCTTCTTCTCTGGATCCTCAAGCACTGGCCTGTACCCCAGCTTCTCCTCTGGACTCACTGTCTCCAACTTCTCTCCAAGATTCTGAGGCCCTGGACTTTGAAACCCCTTCTTCTCTGGCACCACAGACACCAGACTCTGCTTTGGGCTCTGACACTGTCACTTCTCCCCGGTCCCTGCCACCAGTTTCCCCACTGCAGGAGGACAGAGGAGAGGGAAAACTGGGGAAGGCACCAGAAGTAGCAGAAACCTCAAAGGATGAGAAGGAAGAGGCAGCAGCAGTGCTAGAGCTGGTGGGATCTATTCTCCGGGGCTGCGTCCCTGGAGTGTACCGAGTCCAAACTGTTCCCTCTGCCCGGCGCCCTGTGGTCAAATTCTGTCATCGGCCTTCAGGTCTTCATGGAGACATCTCCCTCAGCAACCGGTACTTTTGTGTTGGGGTTCAGGAATGTTCTGGGGTGTATGAGGAGTGAGTCCTGACTTGGAGGGGCTTATGCCTGCTGAACTTAGCTTCAGTCCTCCTGAACCTAAGGAAAAGAAGCTCAGTTCAGCAGGCATAAGCCCCCTCTAAGTCAGGACATGAGCTACCACACCTGGCTGTTGAGCAGTCCTATATCAACAGCATGAATGGTGACTTTACAGGATGAACATATGCAATGTATTGTTGGCCAAGGTTCAGTTGGTACATAATCCTCCCTCCCCTCATCCTCAGGATCCAACACAGGGCTCCATGAGTGCTGGGCAAATGTCCCACCATTGAGCCACATCCCTAGATCTATTCAATGTTCTTTTGCACACTCCCTCATAAGATCAGTGTTTCAGCAAAACTTTGGGAGAAACTCTTGGTGTTATTCTAGCTGGTTCTAGTCTGTAATGAAAGATGGTGGAATACTAGGTTTCAAGAGTTTCTACATTCTAATACCTTTGTGTCTCATGTCCTAGGCTGGCCTTATACAACTCCCGTTTCCTAAATCTCTGCTCTGAGATGGATGGTCGAGTACGGCCTCTTGTGTACACTGTACGTTGTTGGGCTGAGCATAATGGGCTGTCAGGTGAGAATGAAGACAGATTTGACCCAAGTTGGTGTCAGGTGAAGACATAAGAAAAAAAAGAGGTGGGTACAGGAATGAGGGCTTGTAAATACTTCTCCTAACTATAATTATTATTATTCAGGGGGCGGCCCCCTTCTCAATAACTACGCCTTGACATTGCTAGTGATCTACTTCCTTCAGACCAGAGACCCTCCAGTGCTTCCTACTGTGGCCCAGCTCACCCAGAGATCAGGTACAGCCTTTACTGTCACTGCCTCAGCTTTATCTCTTTACCTTTCAGATGCTCTGGAATGAGATCTTGATCATCACTCATTTTTCTACCTGTTCCTCCTCAGTCTTCTTGCGTACAGTCTGACCCTCTCTTCTTACTGTCACAGGTGAAGGGGAGCAGGTAGAAGTTGATGGCTGGGACTGTAGTTTCCCCAAGGATGCCTCAAGACTGGAGCCCAGCACCAACGTAGAGCCTCTCAGTGAGTCTGAGGAACCTAGTAGAGAACTGATAGTGATATTAAGCTCAATAACAGGGAACACATATATTTGTGTGTACAAGGTATGGTCTTCACAGTAGCCCATGGCTGCTGAAAACTGTATCTTGGGCAGGTAAGTAAGAGATGTATTTTCCAGTTACACTCCTCTGTAGGGTAATCATCGGGGGCAGGACTTGGCTGAGGAGCTGGGTTACTCAGGACACTTCTGAAGCCCAAAGAAGGGAAGAAAGTCCTACTGAAGTAGCTGCAGGGATGTCCCAGTTATGGCTTCTGGGTGACCCCCTTTTCCTAATCTGCCTCCTTCAGGTTCCCTGCTGGCCCAGTTCTTCTCCTGTGTTTCTTGCTGGAATCTTCCTGGCTCCCTGCTGTCCCTGCGGGAAGGTCAAGCATTGCTGGTAGCAGGGGGCCTGGCTTCTGATCTCTGGGAAGGGCTGCGCCTTGGCCCCATGAATCTCCAGGACCCCTTTGACCTGAGTCACAATGTTGCAGCCAATGTGACCAGCCGGGTGGCTAAACGTCTTCAGAGCTGTTGTGGAGCAGCAGCCAGTTACTGCCGAAGTCTGCAGTACCAGCAACGTTCCTCCCGGGGCCGGGACTGGGGACTGCTCCCACTTTTGCAGCCCAGCTCCCCTAGCTCCCTCCTGTCTGCCAAGCTCATCCCTTTACCCGCTGCCCCCTTTTCTGAGATAATTATGGCTGTGGCCCGTGTGTTAAGGGAAGCACTTGGGTGCCACATAGAACAGGGAACCAAGAGACCACGGTCAGAAGGTGCCAGCACTAAAGACTCTTCCCTGGGAGGGACAAACAAAAGACAGAGAGTAGATGGGCAAGAAAAGAGCTGTGAGGAAGAGAAAGAGGAGCCACAGGGATGTTCAGGGGACAACAGTGAAAACAAGGTGGAAGAAATGGTAATAGAGTTGCAAGAGGCACCTCAGGACTGGGCCGTGTTGAGCTCTGGACCACCAGGGGAGCTGCCCCTGATGACTGCAGAGTGTCTAGACAAGCCATTTGAGCAGAAGCCCATGGAACCTGAAGTGGCTGGAGAAGGGTCTCAGGGTGAGACAGGGAAAGAGGCATCACAGTCGTCATCAGTGAGCTGGCGCTGTGCCCTATGGCACCAAGTGTGGCAGGGGAGGCGGCGTGCCAGGAGACGATTACAGCAACAAGCCAAGGAGACAGACAAACGATGCCCCACCACTGGAGCACAGTGGCTGGCAATGGAGGCTCGTGTAACCCAGGAACTGAAAGGACCAAACAGTGAGCAACAGAGGCCAGAGGGGGAGCCCCTCCTCACCTTTGTGGCATCTGTCTCCCAAGCTGAGCAGACGCTCACTGTGGCGCCACTCCAGGATTCTCAAGGCCTGTTCCCTGGTCTTCATCATTTCCTACAGGTTTTTCTCCCTCAAGCATTTAAAAATCTCCTTAAGTGAGGAGCCAAACCTCAAGAATAAAGCTGCTAGTTTATTTACTACAGACACTGGACGCCTTTAATTTCCTCCTTTTTGCGCCTTTTCCCTCTGCCCTGCCTGGCCACGCTAAGCAGCCCTGTTATGTCCATTTGAGAAGTTTTCTTCCTCCCTCATGCCACTTTCATAGGCAGTGCCTACACAGTTGGCCTGCTGCCCCAGGTCATGGAAACCACCACGAATTTGGGCTTAGAATTTGCTTTTCTATCATTTAACACGAAAAGGAGTTCAAATTGTCCTCAAGCTGGATACGAGATTTTCAAATTTGGATATGTGTAAACTATCAAAACTAGGCTGCCTTACCTGACCCTCTGGGGCATACTTCAGCCTGCGAGGTGCAGGTGACAAGGCAAGTTGGTCCGGACCCGCCCTCCCCCACCCGCCTTTGTTGTGAAAGTTAACGGCACGGTAGTTTAATCGGAGCAGACCTACTTTCAGATGTTTCGGCCATGGGCCCCAGCTGTACAGACATCCCTTTATAGAAAAACCCGAACAGGAACAAAAAGAATTTAGTAAATCGCCACCCCTTGCCGCAGTTGCTGCAGTTCTTTGGAGCTATAAACGGTCGAGGGGCGGTACTTCCGCCAGGTTCTCACACTTTCCCCTCCGGCTTCTATCAGGCTTCCGATTGGTCGTTCAGGCCTGTCCAGAACTACACTACGCAGGCGTCCGCTCTTTGCACTCCAGGCAGCGGGCCCCACCCCTTGCTTTTTCCAACTCAGCGCGGCTGGAGACGGAACTGTCGTGCGTATGCCTTTTATGCCGTCCTCGCTTTCCGGCTGCTGTTTTCACACGGCTTTCCCCTTCCCCTCTCCCTTGTCTCTCTGGCGGCTTACTTTGCGGCAGCACCGACAGCCCCACCCCCTTTCTCTGCGGAATCACCATGGCGGCCGGGGTAAGTTTGCCGGCTCCGGTGATCCGGGTCACCCTATCCACCGCCATCCTTTGCCTGAGTTGGGCCAGTCGGCTCCGGGGGAGTTTCAGACCCAAGCGGAGAGCCGATCTGGGATCCACAGGCCGTACCGTCGGAGAGCAAGCTTCCTAGGGCCTGGAGGAGAACTGAGGCTGGGGCTCGGAGGCCAGAGGTGGAATGTTCTGGGGTTGAGGAGAAAAAGAGATGTTTGGGTCACTACTGTTTGGATCTTTAAAAAGTGGTTTAGCCTCACTGCCATTTTGAGATGGGGCGACTGGGCAGGTTGGTGGAACTTTTGCGACCGTATTTGTGGGTCAACAACGGGGACAGTGAAATGGAGAGGGTGTTTGTGCAGGGGCAACTGGAATAGTTTTTTGGGGAGGTTTGGGAGCCAGAGAGTCAAGGAACAGTGTGACGTGAGACCTTTTGGACCCCGCTGGTGAGGTTTTAGAAGGGAAACGACTGGGAACACTGAGGATAGGACCAGGGGAATGTTAATGCGTGACGAGGAAAGAAAGGCTTTTTAGGAGGAGCTGGACATGCTGTTAGATCAGGGTGGTTATTCTGAGGGGAACTTTGAAATCTCTTGGTCTCTGTGTGTGTGTGTGCGCGCGCGCGTGCTTTTGAAGCGGTACTAGCCTGGCGGTAGTCAGATATCCGGTCACCAGGAATGAATGAAACAAGGGCTCTGGGAGGAATGGGTGTGACAGTGTGTGTGTTTGGGCAGATGGGAGTCTGATGGGACCAGAAGTTTTGAAGGGAAGAATGCTTCTAGAGTTGTCCTTAAGGGAGGTCACATCTGTCGGCAAGCTTTATTTAGCAGCTGGTATGCAGTTTTGTTCTTGGTATTTCAGAGGACTCTGATTACACAGGGTATAGGTTCACCAGGAGAGAAAATGAGCAGAACACATTGGAATTCATGGAAGTGCGAGGTGGGGAGTGGCTTTTAGGATTCTTTTCCTTATGTCTGTCTTCCACCCCATCTCTCTTAGACCCTGTACACATACCCTGAAAACTGGAGGGCCTTCAAGGCTCTCATCGCTGCTCAGTACAGCGGGGCTCAGGTCCGCGTGCTCTCCGCACCACCCCACTTCCACTTTGGCCAAACCAACCGCACCCCCGAATTTCTCCGAAAATTTCCTGCTGGCAAGGTGAGTAGTAGAGCCGTTATTCTGCAGATGGCCTCCATGGTGTGTTCTTTAATATTGAAGTGATTTTTAAGAAATCTCATGGGGTCAGGGATGGAACCTTATGAAAGAACCGAATTTAACTGTCCAAGCACCTAACAGGAAAAAAAGAAAATTGAAAGCTTCTGGTAATCCCAGTATTCTGGAGACCGAGGCAGGAGGATTGTGCAAGGTCAGCCAGTCTATGCAGTTTAGTAAGACCCTGTCTCTGAAAATAAAATGTTGGAGGTTATCTGGGATTATGAAGGGAAAATTCACAGCTGTTCAGTGACTGTTAAAGAGTTACAGACCTGCTTTGTATTTGTGGTATGAAATGTATTTTGGCCAGGTGTTATGTGTTCACATATCTTAAGTATCTCTTGTGAGTTGGATTCTAATCTCAAAGGGCTTGAGTAGAGCTAAATATCCAAAGTATGGAGGAGGGTAAATGCTATATGTGGATTGTACCTAATGCCCTTGGGGTTGTAGATGCAGGACTTCTGATGACGTCCATGTTTGACTCAATCAATCACTATTTATTTATCTATCTATCTATCTATTTATTTATTTTGAGGTGGGGGTTTCACTAACCCTGGCTGGTTTCAGACTCAAAAGAGTGCTAGGATTAAAGGTATAGGGCAACACTTTCAGCCGTGTTTGAATTCTTACTCCAGACAGCAAATTCATACCAAGGGATACCAAGTATTTTTCATTTCTGAGTTTCAGATAATGTTAGGAGTTTGCATAGCAAGGAATGTGTGTCTTAACATATTCTTACTTAGAATAGTTCAATCAAGAGAATTTGCAGTGAAAAATCTCTGTGTGTTTGACTTTTGTGTTTTCCTTACTTTGTCCTCAGGTTCCAGCATTTGAGGGTGATGACGGATTCTGTGTGTTTGAGAGCAATGCCATCGCCTATTACGGTAATTTGTGGGGATACGGTATTGAGAGGTTCTGGAGGTGAGGCCATAGAAGTGGCTAGGAGTGCTGCAGTGGACAAGGTGGAATCGTAGAGACTTGGGTTGGTTTTGGCATGACCTCAAAGTCGTAAGCTTTTTGTTCTGCCCTTGCAGTAAGCAACCATGAGCTGCGTGGAAGTACGCCAGAGGCAGCAGCTCAGGTGGTGCAGTGGGTGAGCTTTGCTGACAGCGACATTGTTCCTCCAGCCAGCACCTGGGTGTTCCCCACCTTGGGCATCATGCACCACAACAAACAGGTACACTTTAGGACTTGAGAAGCTGGGGTGGAGATGGGGTCAGTTCCTGCAATTTGGGAATAGGAAGTAAAATAGATGGAGAGAAGATGGCCAGGAGCATGTGGGCAGTGCAGTTAGCATCATTATGGTGGAAATATTCAAGACCTGTTGACCATGAAGAAATACAAAATGAATGTTTCATTCCTGATAAATTCCAGGTGATCCTAGAGTCTAATGATAGAGGATGGGGGTTGAGCCAATGCTGTTTAAAGGGCTTCTTTAGTTCTGTTAGTTGGTTGGGGGTTATGAGGAAAGGACTCTGTACCCACTAAAGATGAGTATTCAAAACAACAGGCCACTGAAAATGCAAAAGAGGAGGTGAAGCGAATCCTGGGGTTGCTGGACACTCATTTGAAGACAAGGACTTTCCTGGTGGGTGAGCGAGTCACACTGGCTGATATCACGGTTGTCTGCACCCTGTTGTGGCTCTATAAACAGGTAAGGTTTGTAAAGAGCTCATTTGACAGGGGTAGACGAGTACTGGGGTACCCCAGGCTCTGCTTAGGACTCAGACCATTCAGCGAGTAGGAATCCCAGGATTGAGTACTGTGATGGTTTTCAGCTTAGTTTCTGATCAGCAGAAATGAAGTTTCTTGGGAATGTGGGTTTAATTTAAAGATGAAAAGAAAGTCTGGGTGTGGTGTTTACACTTGTAATTCTAGCACTTGAGGTACTAAGACAGGAGGATCGCTCTGGTATGAGGTCACCCTAGGCTCCATAGTGATATCAAAAGTAGGAAGCAAAAATTAAAGATATATAAGAGGAAAGGATGGATGATAACTGCAGCATCAAGGGCTCTTGGAGGCAGATCCAAGTCCCTGTCTTGGCTTCATTATTTATAGACACAATGCTATAAGAATTCTCACAGTTCTTTATTTGATAAATCCAAGGTGGTAGTAATCAGTATTCAAATTACTATATTTTTTATAGCATTTAAAAAATTTCCATTTATGTGTATTTGCATGTACGTACGCATGCAGATCCCAAGGAGTTTGAATTACAAATGGTTGTGAACTACCATGTGGGTGCTGGGAATCAAACTAGGTAGCTAGATCTCCAGGGACCACCCTCATCCCTGCATTATTGTAAAATTATTGTAATTTTTTTAGAAAAATATACAACATTCTGTGCACACCAGATCTTACTATAGATGGTTATGAGCCACTGTTGTTGCTGGGAATTGAACTCAAGACGTTTTGGAAGAACAGTGAGTGTTCTTGAGATCTGAGCCATCTCTCCAGCCCCTGTAATTTTTTTTAAGTGTTGTATTGCTGACTTTTCAGGCATTAGCTCCAGACCCATCTGGTTCAGCACTGCAGTCCAACAAGAACAACAAAAAAAGCTATTGTGTGCCAGACCATATTCCTCGCAGGGTTCCATTTATTTTAATGCTTCCATTCCATGCCCACAGCTAGTATAAATTAAGTACAGCAGAACTTGCCGTACCTGACTTCCTAAATTCATTCATTCATTCTTTTGATTTTATTTATTAAAATTTATTCACTTTGTTTCCCAGCTGTAGCCCCCCTCCCTAATCCCCTCCCAATCCCACCCTCTCTCTTCTCCCATGCCCCTCCCCCAGTCCACTGATAGGGGAGGTCCTTCTCCCTTCCATCTGACCCTAGCCTATTAGGTCTCATCAGGACTGGCTGCAGTGTCATCCTCTGTGGCCTGGTAAGACTGCTCCCCCCTCGGGGGGGGGGGTGTCAAAGAGTTCATGTCAGAGGCAGCCCCTGTTCCCCTTACACACTTGGATACTGAGCTGCCAAGGACTACATCTGTACAGAGGTTCTAGGTTATCTCCATGCATGCTCCTTGGTTAGAGGATCAGCTTCAGAAAAGACCTCTGGGCCCAGATTTTTTGGTTCTGTTGCTCTTTCTCTGGAACTCCTGTCCCCTCCAGGTCTTTCTATCTCCCCCATCTTTCATAAGATTCCCTGCACTCTGCCCAAAGTTTGGCTATGAGTCTCAGCATCTGATTTTATACGCTGCTGCCTCCTGTCCTGTTCCCTGTTCTCTTCTTCCTATGTCTATCCCATTTGCCTTTCTGAATGAGGATTGAGCATTTTGCCCAGGGTCCTTCTTAAAATATGGAATGCTTCACTAAGTTGTGAGTTATCCTTGTGTAGGGATCATGCTAACTTCTCTGTATCTAGCCAGTTTTAATATATGTGCTGCCAATCGAGCACGACTTCCTGAATTCTATGATCTGACTGCATGATAAGTTTTATCCCCCACTCCTTCCTATTTTGGCAAAGTAGAAAGTGACAGGAGCTGGAGAGATAGGTCAGCAGTTTAAAATGCTTCCTGTTGCAGAGGACTCTGGATTCCCAGCACCCACATGGCTATAACTGTTACTGTAACTCCATTTCTGGGAGATCTTGTCCCCTCTTCTGGCTTCTGTGAGCATTAGGGACATGTGCAGGCAAAACACCTGTATACATAAAAATTAAAAAGAAGTTGTTTTTTTTTTTTAAGATAGTGTGGGGTTGAAGAGATGCCTCAGCTCTTATGAGTACTTGTATTTGCAGAAGATTCGTGTTCAATTTCAGATACACAAATGGCAGCTTACTGTAACTCCTTATGGGGTATTCAATGCCTTCTGACCTCAGGGGGCACAGACATACTTAGAAGCAAATGGCTCATATACATAAAGATGAAATTAATCTTAAAACGTTTTAAAGAGGATAGTGAGTTTTTCAGTGAAGGAGTTTGAAGGACTGTGTTATGTTTTATACCTCACACTTGGGGGGAGTCATCTTATTTAGCAAAATAAATCTAGTAGTCACCCCACTATACCTCATTTTGGGTGCCCTGGCTCCCCTACTCTTGTATAGGCTCTGCTACAGCCTTTTGTTGAATCAAAATTTTTGAGACAGGTGTGTGTGTGTGTAGCAGGTCTTTTACTACTTTGTGGGTTCTTTTCCCACTTTTACCCCCACCCCATTTCACCCCCTATCACTAGATGGGAGAGAAAGTATATATAGAGAGAGATCCTTGGATCTGTTTTTTCTTGTTTTCTATTAAGAAATCACAATCAACAACCATTTATCCTGCCTTTTGGGACTCTAACATTTACATACCGTCTAGAAAATTCCCAGAATTCCACACAATTACTAGAGCACAAGGCAAGTTATAGCTGCTGTGGACAGTCCAAAGCAAGTCTATATCCCCCATACCTGGGATTAAAACAAAAACATCCTTAAATTTTTTTTTTTTAACCAAAATTTCAGAATTCAGAAATATATACAGAATAGGGTTTTTCTGTGTAGCCCTGGCTGTCCTGGAACTCTACTTTTAGAGACCAGACTGGCCTCAAACTCAAGAGATCAGTCTGCCTCAGTCCCCCAAGTGCTGAAATTAAAGCCATCGCCACCATGCCCAGCTTTAACTTTTCAACTTTAGACATGAAATGTTTGTGTAAAAGAGCAAAATATTAAGTAACTTACATAGAATATTAGTATATGAAGGGATGGAAACAACCATCCTTTTAGACTAACCATAAGATGGTAGAGAAAGAAGTACCCAGCATTCCAGGACTGAGACAGGATCATGATGTGAGAGGTCCACTAGGGTTATGCAATAAAACAAAAGGAGACTGGAGAGCTGTCTCAGCAGTTAAGGACATTGGCTTTTCTCTTTCAGAGGATCAGGGTTTAATTCCCAGCATGTATAATGCCTCACAATCATCTGTAACTTCAGTTCTGGCCTTTGACTTTTGGATCTAACACTGTCTTCTGACCTCAGAGGACATAGCACATATGTGATACACAGGTATATATAGGCAAAACACTCATATACATTAAAAAAAAAAATGCACTCTTTCTTTGAAAATGAAGGAGTCCTCAAAGAGATGTAGGCATTTAAGGTACTGATGTTGGTGGGATGGAGAGAAAGGTGGATCCGGAGGTAAGGGTCTTATGCTCTGGTTTGAAATCTGTTCATCGCTTTTCCATTGTTGATTTTGCTTCTGCTGTTCCATCCTGGCAGGTCTTAGAGCCTTCTTTTCGCCAGGCCTTCCCCAATACCAACCGATGGTTCCTTACCTGCATTAACCAGCCCCAGTTTCGGGCAGTCTTGGGGGAAGTGAAGCTATGTGAGAAGATGGCCCAGTTTGATGGTAAGTCTGAAGAGACTGAGCATGTGCTCAGGGTCAGGGTCTGCTTTGCTCCTGTTGGCCCCTTGATTCGCATAGCCAGAACATGAGTATCAAACAGCAACGGACGTTTCCATTGAAATGCAGTGCTATGTGGTGATGTCTGTTGTTCCCTGAGGTTTGTTTGCTTGTCCTACCTATCACTTTTCCCCTGCTAGCTGCCTGTTTTGGAGGAAAAAAAAGACTATATTTCCTTTCCTCACTCCTTTACCAGCTAAGAAATTTGCAGAGAGCCAGCCTAAAAAGGACACCCCAAGGAAAGAAAAGGGTTCACGAGAAGAGAAACAGAAGCCCCAAGCTGATCGGAAAGAGGAAAAAAAGGCAGCTGCCTCAGCTCCTGAGGAGGAGATGGATGAGTGTGAGCAGGCACTGGCTGCTGAGCCCAAGGCCAAGGACCCTTTCGCTCACCTGCCCAAGAGGTAAGCATGTTGGAAGGTGTTCTTAACCTTCCAACACTCACACTCATCTAGGGCTGCAGTCTTAGGTTATTAAATAAATATTGATGGGTGTAAGTGTAGTCCAGGCTGGCTTGTGAGGCTGTGAGCCATTAGAATGCCCCTGAATTTCTGATTGATGTTCTTGCCTCCATCTGTGATTTTTAGGCATGTACCAATATGGAAGTCTTAGGTTGGTTTGGTTTGGTTTGGTTTTTGGCTTTTTGAGACAGGATTTCTCTGTGCATCCCTGGCTGTCCTGGAACTCATTTGTAGACCAGGCTAGCCACAAAATCAGAGATCCACCTGCCTTTACCTTTTGAGTGCTGGGGTTAGAGGTGTGTGGTAACACCACCTGGCTCCCCTTTGCTTTTCTGTTTTTTTTTTTTTTTTTTTTTTTTTTTGTGAAGGTTTATTTATGTATATGAGTGTTCTGTTTGCATGTACACCTGTATTCCAGAAGAGGGCATCAGAATCTGTTATAGATGGTTGTGAGCCATTATGTGGGTGTTAGGAATTGAACTCAGAACTCAGCTCTTCCAGTGCTCTTAACCTCTGATCCAGCTCTCTAGCCTCCTTTCTTAGTTTTTTAACACAGGGGGCATCACTGTGTAGCTGTGGCTGTCCTGGAACTCTGCATAGATCAAGCTGGTCTCAGACTCTAATCACCTGCCTCTGCCTCTTGAATCCTGGAATGCACCAGTATGCCAGAAAAGTCCCTTTATTTGTGTTATATGACTTTGTTCCCCTGGGTACATGTGTAGAGGCTAGGGCTCAGTGGAGATGTCTTATGTCTTAATGTTTTCCTATATGGCTCCCGACCTTTTTCTTTCTTCTTTCTCTCTCTTTTCCTTCCTTCCTTCCTTCCTTCTTTCTTTCTTTCTTTCTTCTTTTCTTTCTCTTCTCTTCTCTTCCCCCTCTCTTGTTCTCTTTGAACCTGGAGCTTGCTGTTTCTGCTAGACTGGCTGCCAGCCCCCACTATCCACTTATCTCTGGCCCTCCATCCTAGCACTGGAGATTGCAAATGCTGGCCACCATGTGCAGCTTTTGTTTAAGTGCTGGGGATCTGAATTCAGTTCCTTGTGTTTGCACAGCAAGCACTTTACTCACTGAGCATGCCCTCACCCTCTTGGAATTCTCTTTTGAACAGATGGGCAAAAGCAGAGGTTAGAGTGGAATTTTTGTGTGTAAATTTTGTTTTTTTTGGAGGTAGGGTCTCACTGTGGCTCAAAGGCAGCCTCATAGGCCTGCCTGTGCATCCCAGCTGTGGTGCATGCTTGGTTTGGTTTGGTTTTGAAGCAGGGTCTTTCTGTGCAGACCAGGCTGCTTTGAGCTTGCAGGGCCTCTTGCTCTTACACCTCAAATGCTAGCATTTCAGGAATGACTCCAAAGTCTAGCATCTCTGCTTTTCTGACCACATTCTCTGCCCTTCGTAAAGCCATTTCTTTGCACTGTATTGATCTTTTGAGGCTTCATTTTCTCCTTCCGGGGACCATTGAGGAAATGCAGGTAAAGAAAGGGAAGGATTATTTTGTCTCATGATTTGATGGCCACCAGGAATAATCAGAACAGAGAGAGATGAATACTGTGGTTCACTCACTGTCCTTTCTTACTCATCCTGGGACCCCAGTCGTTAGGCTAGTGCTGCCTAATAGTGAGACCTTATCATCTAGTCTGTTAAAGTTCCCTGGAAATCTCCTCAGGCATGTCCAGAAGTTGTCTCTCAGGTGATAAATCTAATCAAGTTGATTAAAGAGCAGCCATCCAGGTTCAGTTTTGACCTCTGCATTTTGGGATGTCTTAAGTGATTGCCTTATAAACCAGCATATAGAAACATTCTGGCTGGAGAGATGAGATGGCTCAGAGGTTAAGAGCACTGTTTGCTCTTCCAGAGGTCCTGAGTTCAATTCTCAGCAACCACATGGTGGCTCATAATCATCTTTAAAGAGATCTGGTGCCCTCTTCTGGCCTGCAGGTATACATGCAGGCAGAACACTGTATACATAATAATAAATCTTAAAAAAGAAAAAATGAAACATTCTGGCTGGAAAGTGTAAATTGCAAGCATGGATTACACTAAAGGGCTGAGAGTCCTATTTTCTAGTTTTGTTAATTTGTTTGTTATGAGACCATGAAAGCTTCAAGTATAGCTTAGCTGCTTTTTCTTTTTTTGAGGGAGTGTGTGGTGTGGGTTTGAGATAGGGTTTCTCTGTGTAGCAACCCAGGCTGTCCTTGATGGAAACTTGCTCTGTAGATCAGGCTGGTCTTGACCTCAGATATCCTCTGTTTCTGTTTCCTGAGTATTGGGACTAAAGGTGTGGGCCATCACCTCAGGAGTGTGGCTGCTCTTTAAGTTCTGTGTATGTGTGTGCACGTGCCAACGATTTAGAAGGTGTTGGGAATGGAAGTCAGGTTCATTTAAGTACATCTGCAGCTCTGCTCTTTAAGAGTGCATTGAGTTTTGAACTCAAGTGATTAACCTTGAGCCTTGTATCAGAATATATTTAATGAGCAAGAGTTTGTTATGTAAAAAAAAACCCAAACCTATAACATATCCAATTATATATGCTGTTGTAATGGAACATTTTTGTTTTTTTGA